AAAGCCTGGAAATTTCTGGAAACGTCGGGAAAAGGCTGGATAAGGTCTGGAGAAATTCAGACAAGTCTGCGTAAGGTCTGGAAAAGTGTATTTGAAGTCGGGAAAGTGTTTGGAAGAAGTCCGGAGAGGTCAAAGGGCTAGATAAGGTCTGGAGAAATCTAGACAAGTCTGGATAAAGTCTGGATAAGTCTGGATAAAGTCTAGCTAAGTCTGGAAAAGTCTGGATAAGTTTGGATAAAGTCTGGAAAAGAGCGAGAAAATTTCTGGAAACGTCTGGAAAAGGCTCTATTAGGTCTGGAGAAATCTAGAAAAGTCTGGATAAAGTCTGGAAAAATCTAGCCAAGTCTAGAAAAGTCTGGATAAAGTCTGGAAAAGCCTGGAAATGTCTGGAAACGTCTGGAAAAGGCTTAATAAGGTCTGGAGAAATTCAGACAAGTCTGGATAAAGTCAGGATTAGTCTGGATAAAGTCTAGCTAAGTCTGGAAAAGTCTGGATAAGTTTGGATAAAGTCTGGAAAAGAGAAAAAAAAATTCTGGAAACGTCTGGAAAAGGCTCTATTAGGTCTGGAGAAATCTAGACAAGTCTGAATAAAGTCTGGAAAAATCCAGCCAAGTCTACAAAAGTCTGGATAAAGTCTGGAAAAGCCTGGAAATTTCTGGTAACGTCTGGAAAAGGCTTGATAAGGTCTGGAGAAATTCAGACAAGTCTGGATAAAGTAAGGAAAAGTGTATTTGAAGTCGGGAAATTGTTTGGAAGAAGTCGGAGAGGTCAGGAAAGGGCTGGATAAGGTCTGGAGAAATCTAGACAAGTCTGGATAAAGTCTAGCTTAATCTGGAAAAGTCTGGATACGTTTGGATATAGTCTGGAAAAGCCAGAAAATTTCTAGAAACGTCTGGAAAAGGCTCTATTAGGTCTGGAGAAATCTAGACAAGTCTGGATAAAGTTTGGAAAAATCCAGCTAAGTCTATAAAAGTCTGGATAAAGTCTGGGAAAGTCTGGAAATTTCTGGAAACGTCTGGAAAAAGGTTGATACGGTCTGGAGAAATTTAAACAAGTCTGAATAAAGTCTAGCTAAGTCTGGAAAAATCTGGATAAAGTCTGGAAATTTCTGGAAACGTCTGGAAAACGCATGGAAATTTCTGGATTGGGTCGGAAAAATTCTGGAAAATCTGGAAAGGGTTGAATTTTAGCGGATCTCAAAGCTCACAATAATCACAAGCATTAGCGTTGAAGTTTGCTTCGGCATTTTCAATGTTCTCCTCGGTTGCATTTTTGCGAAGGACTGTGAATTTTTTATTTATGTGACAATTCTCTGACAATATGTCTATTAGCTGTGCTATTAGATATTGCTCTGTAGATGGTTGTTTTTCAAAGATTCAAAGCAAGGAAGTGGTTTAATATTTTTTCGAGGTCCAATAGAAGAATCTAGGTATGTATGTAACTTCATGAAAATGTAAAAAAAAAAATTAAGACTCGATATCTCGTATTATACCACAGCACACAAATAGTTAATAACTCGGTTTATAATAACACCTTGATTATGGTTATGATTATTCTGTTTTAATTAAACCACTTCGAAAAATGTATACCTACGAGTTCCATAAAACAGAATGAGATAAGTAGACATACGCACACCGTACATTCAAGAAATGTGATCGATTTAAAATCATTATGATATACCATACAAAAATAATTCGTCACCAACTCCATCCATCGCATTTGAAATTTCTTCACTAAAATAACATCTATACAACTTATCTCACTGTTACATTTAATGTATAGTGTACATTTAAAACAAAAATTATGCTGTTTTTTGTACAACACCTAATAAATATTTTCCATTTTATAATTATTTTGATGGACTTGATTTAAAAAAAAGAGCGCGAAGCGCGCTCGTGACCTAGTACAATAAAGCAGAGAAAGATGGGTGCCATATCAATCAACAAAGAAAACTTGTGCCCCCTATCCTATAAATTGCAGTTCATGTTACTTACGTGTTACGACCCGTGCTATCTTCAGTTACTCTGAGGCGCAATTATCTTTATGTACCTCCCAATCATTAGTATTAAAAATTTAATTTTCTTTTTCATCCTGTATAAAATCTTAAAACAAAAAAAGACGAGAACGTTGAACCAACATTAATGAAGAAAATTGTTTTGAGTAACTGAGACAAAGAATCAGGGTGATGAAAGTAATTTTTCAGTTAAACTGAAATTTCTGCAAAACTACGAGATTTATTCAAAAACCCTTCAAGTTGTTTTTTACCATTGAACTACTGATTCTGCTTAAACCCAGAAAAAAAGCAGGAGTATATTTGAAAAGAAATGGCGACGTCCTGAAATTTGTCAAACTTTCCACTGTTTTATTGTCCACCCTGTATGTTGAAGATAACGTTTCTGTTTATCAGCGCGATACATACACCTTGAACACCAAGCAATGCGCCCCAATATGCTTCAAACCGTAATCAAATATCTCTTATACTTTCTGAGATATTTGACTTCAAAAATAGGCAAAAAATTTCTTTATGCGTATCGAAGTTCCAGCAGTTTAGTAACTTTGACTATCTCATAGACAAAAAAAATTGTCATGAAAGTCTCGGATACATATCGGCGGAACCAAATAATGTGTTTATCCTAATTCTATCTGCTTCTGCACGTCTCTAAAGACGGATAAAAAAAACCTTTCAAAGGAGCTATCACACGGGGTTCTCATTTTAGAAAAATTATTAGGAGCGGCTAGTCCTCAAGGCAAGAGGGGTAGGGGTTAGGCAATAAGCACATTTGGTTTCCCCGATGTGTATTTGCCCACGAGTGTTCATATTCTTCTGATTCAGGGAGCCGAAATTTGCAAAAATTTTAATTTAATTCCAATTGGTGAATTATCTGAAGAAGCTTCCGAGGCTAGAACAAAGAATTTAGGATATATCGCCAGAATTTTTCCAGAAAAATTGGAAGAAGACAGAATATTGAGGATATTCTGCATAATCTATTGATTTCTTCAGATCCTTTAATTTCATCAATTAGACCAAAATATACAGTATCATTACTTAAAAGTGCAACATATGGGATTTTTTTTTAGTAATAGCACAATCAAAATACAAACAACGCTAAAAGTTGGTGCAGGTTTGATAATCATATTAGGTGCACTTAGAATGGTTGCAAGTCAAACAGCATACAGGGTGGCTCAAAAAATATCAAAATTCTACTAATATTTACTTAAATAAAATAAAACTTTTGCACTTTAAAGACAGTTTTTTTAATATGGCTATTATCATTAGTAATATTTTAACTTGCTAAAAAAAAGATCGCGACATTTTAAAGTTGTGTTGAATATCATTGCAACAAACATGAATTTTGTGATTCCATAAAAAATTAAAAATCTAAGTTAATTTTACAAATATGCTTTAATTTGAGCAAAGTTATGAGAAATGGATTTGATTTTAATTAATTTTTGAAAGTATTAAGGGTGGAAATGAAAATTTTAAAAAAAAATATAGAAATAATAGATTTTTTTCGAAAGAAAATAAAAAAAATCTTAGGAGGCTATGTTTTGGTATTTAGGCATAACTTTTAATTCCAAACAACTTTTCTCTATAACATTTTGCTGATTTTTTTAAAATAAGGGTACTTTACAGTACAGCTTTGATATTGTTTGAGCTACCCTGTATGCTGTCTGACTTGCAACCATTCTAAGTGCACCTAATATGATTATCAGACATGCACCAACTTTTGGCCTTGTTTTTATTTGGGTTGTGCTATTACTAAAAAAAATTCCCATATGTTGCACACTTAAAAAATCACACTGTAGTTGTAAAAAAAAGTTTGTATTATATTTAGAGGCGCAGGAATTGTTAGATATGGAACAAGAAATGGAAGAGGAAGTTGATTCAGATTAGGAAAGAAATATTTCTGGCAATTCCACTCATGTATAAATAATCCCATTTAAACTGTCAAAAATTGTAGTTTGCTAGCGGATAAATAGGAAGGAAGAGAAAATATAAGTGGATAAAAAAATCGGATAAATTTTCTGTTGATGCAATCGTTACCATAGTAAAAATTGCATATTAAATTGGTTTTTGAATCATCTGTCAAATAATTGTCACAAAAATTCACAAATTCGATCAATTTAGCCCCGATTTTAGCTTATTAAAAGTGTTTTGTTATCTGAAATAAATAAATATTTTATTTTGATTTTACATTCGTGGAATTGCCGTACTAAATACCATTCGAGCTCAGATTTTGAGCAGGATATTTTTTTGCTTGCCAAAAAATATCCGGCTAAATCTGAGCTCTTATGGTATTACCTACGAATATTTATTGGAATAGGTTAAAAATATATTATTTCTTATTGGTGTGGCGTGCGCTTAGAACTGGATATTTGTTAAATTTTTACACCCTGTATACTGCTAATTACAAATATACTTCGGAAGAAAAATATGCTTGCTAAATTTTATTAATAATAACAATTATTACATTAGTATTACTAGAATCAGTAAGTTAGAAACGTTGATGTCCACTTTTTTCCCGTTTCGCTACACTGTGCGCCGCGTGGAAATTGAAAACACGAGGGCTTTAACCACGCAAAAGGCCTCAAGGACTATTTTCGCCTGTGGTCAATGCAACATTTTATGTACGACCGTGAGTAATAATCATTATGTAATTCAAATGAAATTTAAAGAAAAAACATATATGTATGTAAATAAATAATGACCCCTATTCAAAGTGAAATAAACAACAAAATGTAATCGGAAATAACCAATAGAAACTACTGTAACCAGCCAAACAAACATCCAATTGATGAAACTTGGTTTGTTCTTGTAGGGTAAAAATACAACTCTTGTTCAGTTTTTGACACCTACGTCACCAACATCATTAGTTCCACTTTGCGAAACGGCGGGCCGAAAATAGGTACTTTCAGGTCCAGTCGTACATAAAATATTTTTTCAAAAATCTCCAGAATCTTTTTTGTCTTCTATTTATAATTTATTTGTGTTAATATACCTGCACTTGTACGCCTACTGCCTGCTGCACTACTATTGGGTGAACTGGCCCTCTGCGGTCTGGAATACAAAGCTGGCAGAGCTCCAGCTAATAACCAAGACATGCTCATGGTTAGAAGGTGAGGATGGGAATTCTTGCCTTGTCCAAAAGGGCCGGACTGTTCTAACACAGGAGTGGTTAATTCTAGACCTATTAATAAAATTTCGTTTAGTGGTACTCTGAATTATTTATAATTTGGATAAAGCAACATATATTTATTTAAGGCGGATTATGTATTGAGTACGTTTATGGAGTTACTGGAGTTAGCATAATGATAGTTATAGGTATAGCCCCAAGTGTAATGTTTTATTATTTATAAAGTATATTTCCAGATAGTTGCAAGGTTGGTGGCGTTTTTGTTTTGCAGTTTTGTTCAACAAAAGAATGGAGTTTAATTTTATAGATCTACTCTCTTACTGTTTACAAGATCCAAATGGTGACCCTGGAGTATCAGAAAGCCAGTAACATAATTTCCGTTCACTTTCATTTGACATCCCATCCTTCTTGGAAATTTGACAGATTAGGACTTGAATCAAGAGACTACATTCTTTGCACATCTGTAAGCAAATCTATGAGTTTCTATAAGCCTATAGACACTGCAAAACGCATCGACTGCCAAACACCTGATCGGAAATATTCACGATTCTATAAGATTTTCTGTGAGGTATTGAAGTGCAAAATTGCAAATTTTCTATAGGCAGCTATAGGCTTATAGAAAGTTTGCTTACAGATGTGCACAGAATTGACCCATATGTCTGTGAGTTTTTAGTGAGTCGGTAGCTTTAGCTCATCTTGTATGTTATCAAAGTTGTTTTTGTTTTCAAGGCCCTATTTCCTTTATCTGTATTAGCCTATCCAAAACACGTGACTTTAACAAGCAAAATATGGCCGGAGAAGGAACACCAACTCCTATTTACATGCACTATTCAAATAGGTACACTATTTCTAATATTGATAAAAACAACAATTTTAGGTATAACAACGCAAATAATTCACAATTGGCATTATTTAAACCTCATAACACCATTTGATAACACATAGACAAAGGGTTTGTGTGCCTCTTAGCAGATATTTTAATTTAAGTTCGACAGCATCTTGGAGAGTTATAGAAGTTATAGACCGGTGCATAACGACCATTTTTTTAAAACGATTTTCTCACGTCTGCCATTAAGGGTGGTTATTCTTCATGCAATAAAAAGTGGAATGGCTGAAATTTCAAAGAGCCCCGCGTGTGACAATACATTGATATGCTAATTTGAAAATGTATTGAAAAGTGGAGATTTGGATCAATATTATCCCGTCTGCTACATATTGTGAAGGTAATTTAAACAAAAATTAGTAGAAGGAAGCTAAAGGGCGGAAACCCTAGGTTAGTATAAAGTGTCATATCACGAATTTTGAAATGTCGCCAAAATCGGACATATGGATCAACGACCTCCCGTCTGCCAAATTAAAGTTATGTTACATTTACGATCGATAGAAAATCTCAGTTGGTATAATAATATTTAACAATCTTTGAAGTTATATCAAAATGCTGAGATGTTGAAACAATTTTCTCCCGCCTAAAACATGTTTTCTTACAATGGATTGATAAATAATGTACCTTTACACCGGCAGAAAAATTGAAGTGTTACAAATATTTATTTTTAATTTTTCAAAATGTCAAAATTTCTCAAATTTGAGATCAATTATTTCCCGTCTGCCATTAATTTATATTAAATTTTTTTTTGTTTTGACTGGCAGAAATTGCAGACTGGTACAAGTCCTAATAAACAATGAACAAAATTGCGACAAAAATTGTTTATTTTCAAATGTCATATAACAGTAATTTTTGTGATCATTTTGACACGGTATAAGTTTCACTTCAATGACTTTCAGCTTGATCGGCGTATAAGTGTTATACTCCGCCAGAGTATATGTATAGTATTCTACATTATTAGCCAGGTAAAACAATAGGTGAGAACTTTCTGATGCCATATTATATAAATCTCAAACAAGATTTTTGAACTTTTTGTATTCTCCGTTAGTCGTTTTGATCTATGCAGATTCCATATACTACGTCTCCAAAGTTAAAGTGGCTTAAAACAAGTGTGTCTGTAACTTGGATTTTTTGACTGATAGTAAGCAGATGTCTATGAGGGTAAAGTAATTTGAGAGACAGATAAGCCTTTTTAATGTTATTATTCACATGCTGGCGAAATCTTATATCAGTGTCCAACATAAATCCTAAATTCCTTGCACATTCTTCGATTTTTAATTCTTTTCCCAGCATTGTAAGTTTCATATTATTTCTAACCATGGTCAAAGAATATTATAGTTAACACTTATAGAAAACCTATTCCATGTATATTTTTTGACCCCCAAATGGAGCCAGACTTTTCGAGCCGGGCTCCATCGGAGTGGTAGGCTCGCCGTAATCAACGTGGTTCCAGTTGATGGCTACTCGGCGTTGCCATATGTCCATATAAATATGTATAATAATAACTTTAAAACGGTGACCGCGCTGATGTGAAAAAACACGATATGCGGGAGAAAAATGGAAGGTTTTGTCTTGAAAATATCGCTGAAAAATTGCTAGACGATAATAGCAGTTCGAACTCGAGTTTCTCACAGAAATATCAAAGTTTTTCAATTTTTTTCTGGAAAACTGACTAAGTAATAATTGTGCAATTTTTTCAGGTGAAAGACGAAAGTGAGGAGCTTATTATAGGAAAATTTCAAATTTTTCCAATGGAAAATCATCCCAGGAAAAATTCTGGAAAATTGACTTTTTTAAGCAGAATTCATTTTCTTAAATTACATTTATTTCCTAGAAAACTGGCAAAAGGAAAATTGTGAATTTTTTAAGAAAAAATAGGAAAGTGAGGATCTCATTATAACAAAATTTCAAAATTTTCCAGTGAAAAAACACTCCAGGACAAATTTAGGAAAACTGACTTTTTTAAGCGAAATTCATTCTTTTATATTACAACTATTTTCTGGAAAATTGGCAGAGTGGAAATTGTGATATTTTTGCAGGAGAAAGACGAAAATGAGGAGCTTATTATAGGAAAATTTCAAAATTTTCCAGTGGAAAATCATTTCAGGAAAAATACTGGAAAATTGACTTTTTTAAGTAAAATTCATTTTCTTTCTTTTTAGTTTTTTTCGAGAAAACTGGCAAAAGGAAAATTGTGAAAATTTTCCAGAAAAAAGAGGAAAGCGAGTTCATTAAAGTAAATTTTTAAAATTTTCTAATGAAAAGTCACTCGAGGAAAAATTCTGGAAAATTGACTTATTTAAGTAAAGTTGAGGAAAATTTACCCTCTTACATTTTAATTTTTTTCTTGAAAACTGGCAAAGGGAAAATTTTGAAAATTTTCCAGGAAAAAGAGAAAAGTGAGGAGCTTATTACAGGGAAATTTCGAAATTTTCCAGTAAAAAATCATTCCAGGAAAAACTCAAAGAAAATTGACTTATTAAGGCAAAATTGAAGAAAATTCACCCTCTTACATTTTAATTTTTTTCTGGAAAACTGGCAACGGGAAAATTTTGAAATTTTTACAGGAGAAAGAGGAAAGTGAGGAGCTCATTAGAAGAAAATTTCAAAATTTTCCAGTGAAAAATCACTCCAGGAGAAATGTATTTATACATGTATATTTTCGGATAACTGAATAAACTCTATTCTAAGTTAAAATAGTATATTTCCTAACTAGTGCGGAAAGTACCACTTTTCCGCACGCGATTGCAGTTTATCGACCGACGCGCAGCGAAATTCGGCAAGCAATCAAGTGCGGAAAAGATACTTTCCGCACGAGTTAGGAACACTATTTTTTCTACGAGATGAAAGGTAATATTTTCATCTACATATTTATCAATTTAAGATATTTTTTTTTCACTTTTTTGTACCTGTACCTGGTAGTATATCCTGTTAATCTGTAAGTACAGGGTGGCCCAAATTCGAGCCTCATCATTGGGATTTTGGAAACCGTAAGAGATACAGGGTCGGTTAAATTATGGCAAAGTTGCGCATTTTGATGCTCAACAAAATGCCGCTTTGATATTCAGGATATTCCGAATACTTCCGGAGATATCCAGAAAAATTTCGAAATTTTGCAAAATTGTTTTTATTTTTACCTGACTTTATTTGAAGTGATATTTCGAAAAAAATATCACTTCATCATAGCCACTTTTTCTCCCCTACAAGATGCTACCATCAAATTTAAAATCTGACATTTCGTCTTTTGGCCACCATCATCAACTTATTTTTTTTAAATACAACCCTGGATTTTTTTATTTCTGATTTTGAGAGTTTCTGATGTTCCAAAACCTATGACGTATCGCATTTATCCGAAAATAGTTATTTATGCAACAAGTGTGTAAAGTGAACCTTTTTTCACGAATGTGAATTTTGACGCACGAGCCGAAGGCGAGTGCGACAATCACATGAGTGAAAAAAGGTGCTTTACGCAAGTATTGCATACAAAAATTTTTCTACTACCAATCAAATATGTGTACGAAAATAAATTTAGTCAAATACTTCACGCGCTAGTGCGTAAAGAATTTTCATTTTACGAACTAGTGCGTGAAGTGATTTACCAGAAAAATGCCAAATTGACAGTGTCGACATCTGTCATTGACATTACTTTACGCACTAGTGCGTGAAGTGAAATTTTACGTCTTCTGAATAGCGCGTAAAGTGAGTACTTTACCCACGGTAGTAAAAAAAAATATTTTTTTTTTTACTTCTTAGTAATTTCCTACCAAAATTCTTTTCTCTGTCTCTCTCTAACACATTTAGTTTTTATGGAAAGTGCCAATAATATAAATTTTTCGAATAAATGCGATTCGTCATAGGTTTTGGGATATCAGAAGCTCTTGAAATCTGAAATAAAAAACGAGGGTCCGTATTTAGAAAAGTAAAGTTGATGATGGTGGTCTAAAGACGAAACATCATATTTTAAATTTGATGATAGCATCTTGTAGGGGAGAAAAAGTGGCTAAGATGAAGTAATATTTTTTTTGAAGTATCACTTCAAATAAAGTCAGGAAAAAATAAACATTTTGCAAAATTCCGGTTTTTTCTGGATATCTCCGGAAGTATTCGAAATATCCTAAATATCAAAGCGGCATTTTGTTGAGCATCAAAATGCGCAACTTTGCCATAACTT